AAAATTTATTTTTCGAGATTTTATATTATTATTTCATTTTAATCTGAATTTCATTTTAATCTGCCACAATAATTACTAACAAACAAATAATTAAAAATGCTTACTAAATTCAGTATGACAATTATCATTATAGATCGCATATTTCTATATTTAGAATTACTTATACGAGGGGTATGTACTTTAATAATTTGACTTGTTATACAAGTTATATTTGAGCCAGGTCTACAAATTTAGAATAGCCAATATGTTATATGTTGTTCAAACACCTATGTACATATATACACGAATTTTTTTTACCAATATCTAAATTTGGGTTGGCTTCTATAAATATATTATATGTGTAATTTTAACTTAACCATATACATATATACGTATGTATATATGTATTATATCACAAGTGCATAAAAATTCAATCACAGTTTTATTTTGAACAGTACTTCAACAGCACTTTAGCAGTACTTCAGATGCGAAACATCCTCTTTTCAGGAGACAGTGGCTTAGCAAATATATATATGTTTATTAAGAAAAAGCCAACAGCACTTCAGCGAAGCATTCTCCTTTTAGAAGATAGTAGCTTAACAGCAGTTATTGTGTGTGCTATTTTAACACAACATATAGCAGTAATTTAATTTCACAGCTGTTAGTATTAGATCATTTCAAATTTATTCTATCATATGACTTGATGGTTTTACAGGTCCGCACACATAAATTACGTATTCCGATGGCTTTCAGAAGCCATTGGAGCATAAACTGAGTTCAAGATTTTTCATTTGAGCAGAATTTTTTGATTTAGTAATTATTAAAAATTAAATAATAATATTTTATACAATTTAATCTAATCATTTATAATCATTTATGTGATATTGGATGATCACCGTTAAAATTGAATTGTATAATTATATTTTATTAGTTAATCACTTTTCTTAGCTATATATTGCTTATGAATCGCTTATGAAACCATTTATAAAACTGCATAATATTTATAAATCATTACGTTGATTAGTTGTTACATTTCTTAGCTATAAATTGTTTATGAAACCATATATGAAACTGCATAATACTTATAAATCATTGATCAATCACTATATATTTTTTTAAGTATTTTTAATTATTTGAAATTAATAATCGTTATAACAATATTTGAACTTAAAGATAATTATCCTTTGATCAATATGATATATTGTATTGATAATCATAATTATATATATCAATATAATATTTTAAAATTGGAATATTATCCAAAAGATGCATAAAGAACAAAACAAAGTAGACACTGAATTCCTAATAATTATCAAGTTCAAATTTTAATGTATAATCAAAATGTTACATGTCGAACAAGTTATCAATTTGATAGAAAACCAAAATTTTATATAATATGGATAGATGGAAAAACAAAAAAAAAATACAAAATAATAAGTGTAAAATCTACTAGTGATGCTGCGTAGCAATTTATGAAAGTAAAATTAACTAAAATATTTAATTCTGTATTCCAAATTAATGTATCAATATTAAATTGTTTACTAACACTAATTTATATTTTAAAATAGAGATTAAATCCAAATAAGAAATTTACTTTATCAGGTGTTATTTTATTTGAATTAGATTTGGAATGTCTTGAAACATGTCAAGATAATAGTGATAGGCAATTAAAACCTTATTTACATCTCAAATCTGAATTGCAAAAAAGCTATTGTTTAAAACAACTAGCTTCAGACATTTATTTTTGTTCTAAGAAGCTGTTAGAAGAACATCAATTTTTTGATACAAATTTAGATTATATTGAACTTAAGGTTCTCAATGAACAAGTTAAAATAAATTTTACCAAATTAATATTAAATATGCATCTTGATTCTATAATTTATATATGTGATATGGTTCCGGAAATCTATAATCGCCAATCACGTGATATGTTTCAATTTTCTCGTGATCGTGATTAGCCAATAAAA